AGAATTAATCGACAAATTTAACAATTGTATATATATATATATATATATATATATATATATATATATATATATATATATATATTCGTAAACTTAATACTAGTGTCCTATAATGTTTTCAGTCAATATAATCAAATCAATGAATGTATATGAATATAATGGCTAATTATATAAAGCCCATAGGTTATTATACAATTTCCTGTACTTATTTCTTAATCAGATCATAGCAATTAGCTATGCAGCAATAGAAATTTATTCATTATAACATCATAAATCCGACGCTTGATTGAATAGTTGAATTTAACATCTGGAGACTAAGATGATTAAAATATCTTCGGAAAACTGAGTAAAATCTTTGAATCTGATGATGATCAAAATGCATACTTTCCTCATAAAAATATTTTGAATCACTAAAACAAACGAAACTTCCCCATCTTTTCTAAGTGCGATTATTCAAAAACTTAACTAATAGAAAGACATTTTCGACAGATATTATTTTACTTTAAAAATGGTTTATCGATAAGCATTGCGAAATACCATATTTCTCTAGATCTCATTATTAGTCGGATCCTGTAAAATTAGTGTCAGTGACTGGAGTTTACATTTTCTGTTTTTATAATAGATTTTTATTTACTAGTCCGTGGTTTGAGTCCCGTTTGAACGAATGAATGAATATACAATGAATATAAATCTTATTTTTAGTGATATGTATTAAACTGAGGCTGACCGCGTTTGAGCGATAGCAGTAAGGAGAAGCCAAATAAGGATTGGGTTAGATGAATTTGTTTACTCAAACAGACATTAAAATGACCGGCGGAAAAGGCAAGCTTATTAAATCCATCCAGTAAAGAGGATCTTATACTTATGTTAATCAATGTTAGATCGCCATTAGAAACCCTGTAATGAAAATTATCATTTGCTCACGAGTGACTAGCCTTGTGAGAAAATCCTCAAAGTTTTAGTTAGCCTTGACCAGTGGAGTTTGACCGTGTCGGGTGTGAGGCTGACAATGGATGAGGTCGCACAATATCATGCTGCTGATGAATTCCATTCCAGGTTTCTAATGACAGTTTAAAATTGAACGATTCATCATTTCAATGAAAATCAAAAATTCTCACATCTCCATAATGTCGATATTTATAACTAAACAGAAACATATGCTTATGACATATGATGATTAATGTAAGCGCTCACATAAAATCCCCGAAGATTATAAGCAAATAATTGACAACTTTTAAATATGTGGATAATGTCTCATGGAGAAAGAATTAACTGGTTTACCCAAAAGTTAGAGTAGTCCATATATGGTATTATTATTATTATCTCCTCCTAAACGTTTATTTAGAAGTTTCGACTATGATTACTGATATCCCTGTGGGAAACATATGTTATCATATGATTGGTACATATCCTTTAGTCATGTATATAAAGGCTGAGTTACATATTACTCGCTGAGTTGGTCATTTCTATCACTCCGGTTAACATGCGTTTCTCTTCATCTCTTATCAAATGTTTCTAAAATACTTTCATATTCGATTTCGTATACATTAGTTGCTGTTATTAAGGTAAGCTGACAGTAAGTATACTAAGTAAATTATGTACGTATTTTACTATCATTTGATCATTTAGAATAAGACTGTGGGTTTGTAACGTTTAACAAAATCCAAGTTGAAATCCAAAATATTTCATCCGAACAATCCAATGATTTCAATTGCTTATGTCTTCGCATTCCTGAATTGTGGTTAGCATATTTGTAGTGTTTCTAAAAATGTTCAAACTGCAGATTAGTATCTTACGAGGATCTCAGTAATGAATAACAATATTCAAAACTTGCAATAATAATGACCGAAACAAATATTTTTCATACAATCACGAGACAGTTTGTTTTCACAGAACTGATTTGGTTCCTTTAATACATACACAAAAATATTAATTAATTACTATCGACTAACTGATTACAATAAAATGCATTTTAATTTAAAGGTATAAAGTAAGGTAAGGTATAACTTATTTGATGTGGAATTATGTTTTTTTCTAAACTTCACCATAACAATCAGATTTTGGCTAATGTAGGAAATCAATATGGCTGACAATTCACTAATCTGCACACATTATGAAAATAAAGCTCTTAGTTTATGAATTTTTCTCGAAGTAAACACTTTTATTCCTTCATACTTTCTTCTTAAATTTTATGACTACTCTACCCGCAGCGCGTATTTTAAAGTATTTAGCTACTTATGAAGACATGACAAATGGGTTGATTCTCTGGTTTGCATATTTTATGAATTTAATACGAGATAAAGTTTGGTACTTGACATTCCAAGTAAAGTCAGTTGATAGGTATGTTCACAAATACTGATCAGTTGTAAATTGCAGTACATTGGAGAATTGAAATGAATAATCTTTGAATATGATTTTATCTGTTTGCTTTTAGTGAAACAGTTGGCCATTGCACAGAGTGCAGGTATTTAGAGAACGTTTTCATTGAGACTAAACATGAATTTTCTACTAAAATAGTGCATACTGATGATTTCATTTTGATAATTAATTGGATGACTTTATAACTTTGTGTATTTTTTCGGTTGAATAAATAATGGTACGTTTTTATGATTAGATTAGAATCAACAAATGACTGTGGATCTAACTGATTTGTACAGATGAACTTCTGTTAGTAAATCAGTCTGAGATTAAGAAATTACTTATATGTTCAGATTATAACAAACTCGAGGTAATTAAATATAGCTCACTAAATAATTTAAACTAACTATCTGTTGACCTAATGTAAAAATATTAAAATTGTTTAGTGTAGAAATTACGAATAAACAACATTCATAAAGCTAAAGATATAAATAAAATTGACATTCCAATTTTCAACCAACATACAGAATACTAAAATTAGATTTTTTTTTATTATGTCAAAATGTAGTTATAAACGATTCATTTTAACTCAGTAACTAATAAAACAATTATCTATCCAACTTTCAAATAAGCCTTTTGAATGAAGACAAGTGAATTTACTCATTAACACTATACTGAATATTTTGAGAAAGACTCAAATAACCAGTTCAAACAATCAAATTAAAATACAGTTGTCACTAGTGCCCTAGACTAATAGTCATATCACATTGTAAATCAATCACTGGTGTAGTAGTGTAGGACACTTAAGCATTGGTTCCAAAAGTCAAGCGCTCATTCTTGAACATCTTTATAATTCCATAACGAAGTACTACAACTTAATAATACTTAGTAAAACTAACTGAAGTATTTGAATCAAGTATCTACATATTCTCCTAGATGTTAATTATCGGTAATTATACATTAATATATTGTTAATCAGAATCAAAACGAATAAAAAACGTGTTCTGTCAAACTAATCAATCAAAATTGTACGTTGCCGATATTCTTCTTTGTTTGCTGAAATATAATTTACTTCTCCGTCACACACACACTTTGGTAACTTTTGCGATCATATGAATTCATTGATTGTTTCTCAATGTGATTTAGATGTTTTTCAAAACACGTTTAGTAGACGTCACACAGTAAGGAGGGTTTTTTTGCACAACTCCAATGTAACATTTCTTAGAAAATATACTTTTTATGTTAAAAATTACCTGATCTTCATGCAAAGAGATTCAATGTTATTGCTACTGAGACTATTTTGTTTTCTCAAGAGCTATTTCATTCCTATTTATTTTGATCAGTGATGTTGCATTTTCAAGCTAACAGTGTTTACTGATCATTTTCAAGTTAACAATACTATGGTATTTCACTAACCAAACTAAATTCCTATGTTGTGATTCTTAAAATCTTTATTTGCTTTAAACTTGACTATTATTTTGGAAAAATAATCAAAATGTATAACTCTGTAAGATGATGACAGTTTATTGGTAAGGTTTTTCTTCATTCAGCTTGTAGTATCTTTGCTAGGAATGTATCAGAAACAAGTGACAATAAAAAATGAAGTATTAGTTTCGGTAAATTCCATGTCTTAAATTGTATTACCAATACTATTTAAACTAATTAAGTGCTGAATCTATCATTTAAACCAACGTATATCTGTGGCCAGATATTTTGAAAAACAAACGGTTTAAGAATATGACTAGTGAGTTTTGGAAAATCGTGTACCGTCTACTTCAGCTAATACAGCTAGAGAGAAGAAATAGCATGAAATAATTATATTTAGTCCTGATTATTTGACGTTTTAATACCGAATTCTGATCAATCAGATATGAAAAAAAACATAAATGCATCAACCCTAAGAATGAGCTGTAATTTTCCACCCTATTGTTTAACAAGCATGATTGTAGCACTTGTCAGATTTTATCTAGTGAAATTGTTAGTGTGGTAAAAGGTACGGTAAATTATTGAATATTTAGCTTCATCAGTTTATGAGGTGATAATTATGTTATATATTTCTGATAAACAACATTTTATTTTCTTTAACTGTGCAGTCTCATGATGTCTACATACAGATTGTTTTTTGTAGAAGCATCTCTAGACGCTGCTTATTGAAGAATAAATGTTTAAGTGACTTTTGATAGTTATGACTACACTTTTTAGCATAAATGGTACGCATAAAGCTTCAAAATCTCCATAATATAATCATCAATACCGGAAAAAAATTAATTGTATCGAAATTGTAAACACTTTCTACTTTGCATTTGTTCATACAATGTTTCAACTCAAAGTAACTTACATCACAGAGTTGATGAAGGTCATATCTGAGAATTCGTTTTTCCAACATTGTATGTATTCTCCTACGTAAATCCTAACATTGTAAAAGCAATTTAATTTTTGAGAAAGATGAATATTTAAAATTTTAATAAAATTTTATTAGGAAATTTATGCACCGTAAACTAAATCAACAAAAAGTAAGCAAAATGAATCATCTACTTTATCTTTAATTTCAACGATCACGTAATTCTATATATTTAAATGAAATTTTCAATAGTTTTGTACAAATGTAAGTTCTGTCTTTATTATCAAATAATCTGTAAATTATACTACGTACTACGTTCAGCCTGTTCAGCAACAAATGTTAAAAATTCTCTAAGATTTAGTCGTCCATCACGATCGGCGTCATATCGATTCATGTAATTTCGAACAGATTTCCTCACTTCAGCGGAATCGTCCCCACCAAATAGTGAACATATTTCATGGAATTCCAAAGTACCAGAACCATCCTTATCCAATTTTCGAAATAGACGTTTCCAACTAAAATTATAAAAAAATATTTGTTGAGTATTTGTTAAATTGTACATATATTCTATAGATTAATTAACTAACGCTGTTATTTTTTTTTGGTCAAAATTTACTATTTTGAGTTAAACAAGTACATCGACTGAGACAGAATACTGAAAATTCATCATATTTTGTCAATTATTCAGCTTTTTATAAAAAATATTTGCTTTGAAGTTTGATATATATATATAGCAATAAAAGATAATGTGAAGCCAACATAAGTCTATAAACTATGATGAATATGTCGTCCTAATGAGGTAAATGACCTAGTGTAAATATGCTTATATTTGAGAATCATAAAAAAACATTAACCTGAAACGTTTTCTGATTTCTAATAATAGAAATGGGGACAACAAATTCAAAGTGATTATGTCACATTTCTTTCAGCCACAGATCATTCAAATCATTTCAATTATTATTATTTTTCGCTTTATTTGGAGTCTGAACTTGCTGCACAAAATCTATGTATTAAAAGGGACTAAACTTTCAAAACCGCGATTTCAAGTTACCTAATAGATAAACGGTAATCCAATAAGTATCGTAAACATGTTTGAATATCATATACGGATAATGAACTCTAATTTTATTCCAATTCACAGAGACGCTAGTCACAAGGTTATTCTTGAAAGAATAGCAAGTTTTCATTTACTTTCGCAAATATCCCTTGAAGAAAAGCATTTTACCTGTGACCTATTACTCAATTTCACTCAACCTGTACCATTCACCCATTAAGCTAATGTTTTTCTAGTTATGTAAGCTGATTCTGAAACCAACTAATCTGTTTGTCATGATTTTACCTGCTTTTTTTGTGCAACATCATTTTCAGCATACATGTTCCACCTTTTCGTACGTTTTCAGGGAGAGATGGCCGAATTTGGTAGTCATCTACTGTTGCTGATTAGATTATCAATGAAAACTAGGAAACAGTGAACAACCTTTTTGTCCCAGTATGAGGCTAACAGCAGCATGCATCCATGACATCAGCGAAACTGACCTTCATGACAGGCGCCTTACTTTTAGACCATTTTGCAGATATCCGGTGGCCTAGATTAAATGTGATACAATTATCGGTCTGTAGGGTAGATCAAAGAGTGAGACTGTAGTTTTGACATAATTTTCTAACATCTCACTGAAGTATGTATGTATGTATGTGTGTATGTATGTATGTACGTATGTATGTAGTGTCAGAATAATCACAATTTTAGTCACATTTATCGCTTACTCATCAATTGATTGACCAGTCAATCCCAATACTAGTTTATATTCACCAAAACTTATCATACCATCACCGTTTATATCGAATAATTTGATCAGTTCCTAATTATTAAAACAAAATAAGAAATAAATTGGAAAGAGGAAAGAAAGATAACCGACAATTAAATATATGGGCTTATATTCACTTTCCTTAGCTGTTTAGATTGACTAGAAGTAGTCCATTTTTGAGTGCCCGCCGATAACCTTTACAGTTTGCTTCCTTTTACTGCCGAATACTTAACATCATACCTAAGATAATTTATTTAAAAAAGACTTTGTAGGAAACTTAATTAAAATACGAAGTAGCTGATAGAGATCTGATAACAGTGTATCGATCAAGTATTAGACAGTAAAGCTAGCCAGTTAATCTCTATTGGATAAGCCAAACATTCAAGTGTTCACCATAGCACAACCAGATATTTTAACCATAAAATGTAGTTATTGTGATATATAAATCACCTTTTTTTCAGTGTCACAGGATAAAGAGTTTTCTGGAGTAAAGATTTGACAGTGATTTAATTTGTCCGATTTCAAATTAACAATTTTACAGAAATATTGCAAAAGTTGGCTAAGAATATCCACTTTTATGATAAAACAAAGATCTAAACTTTGTTAGATCTTCTACAAAATATCAAGAACAATTCCTCTTAGTGTTATGACCGATCGTTTAAAAAGAGACTAAATAAAGTGAGATTGATTGTTACAAGTGCAATCATAGATGAATTGTTTCGTTTCACATTAGAATGTAAAAAATGAACAGAATTTTGAATAGTTAAAATAATCTCTTAGCTCATCATCCTTAATCTCATTTATCTACTAATTTTCTAGATATGGTTCAAGATATTATTCAAACATCTGAGCTGCCCATTGGATGAGAGTAAGTAACCTTGTCTGATACTAGTCTGCACTTGGAACGAGTTTGTGAGCTGTAGTCATTGAAAAAATAGACGCAAACTATTTCTTATTACATTTTAAATGTTGCGTAATAAAGTTCTTTCATCATATCCAAGCCACGTGAAATTGAAAAGAATTACTAAAATGTTTTGTCAATAACTATTAACTTTACCTAGAAAAAAATCTTTATCAAGTTGTACTTGCAAACTATGGTGCTTGAATCGAATTATAGACTTTTCAGTAGGGTCAAATTAATATATATATATAGTTTTAACATCACGTGAATACAAATTTCACCTTGATACAAAATATTTGAAAAGCTTAATCTTTGAAACCAAATAATTTCATATGATAGCAATTATAAACTTCATTTATTTCATAACTACTGAACTTTGTACTAGTATAATTTTGATTATTTAAAGGAAGTATTTAAGACGAGAATAGTATTCTAAACAAAACAACTTCGAAAGCTTATTCTTATTTCTCAGTGTACAGTTGGTTTTCAAAATTTATTATGTATAAGTAAATCTAGTTGATAAGACAGTTTGATCATTTTTAACAGCATATATAGTGGGGAAATAAAGAAAGCATTTACAGTTAAACAAATACAATAGAAACTGAAGGATATCTTGACACTTTTATAGAAACTAAATTCCAAAAAAGTGATGTTAGGTTTTGAAAGTTATTTTAAATCAAACCCAATGCTTCAGTTTTCCTTTACGAAATACCGTTTATCAATCTGTCTTTCTTATTGGCGAGAGTGATGTCTACTACAAAGCCTGATCGATGAAATTCAATCAACATTAAGGGTTAAACGAGAAAAGACATCGGTTAGTGTTCGCTCAGTGTTCAATCACTAAAAATCGCCAAATTGTATTTGTAAATTCATGAAAACTCGTATGCCAATTGATTAACTTCTCTATATGTTAATGTTTAATAGAATGATAATGGAAGCACAGAATCTCGTAGATTATCTGGTGTAGTAAAAAGCTAATGGTTAAATATATCAGTCACTCACCAACGCTATAAGTAAAGTGACAAGTGATTGATAAGTGATCAGAAATATGAAAAATCGAATCTGATTCCTTTAGTTTTTTTTAAAAATATAGATGATTACCAAATACTTAAATCAGTAATATGAAACCCACCAATTAACTTACATGAACTTTCTCTCGATCTAGTGATTTAGTACCCAACTTGGAGAACAATTCTGTTCTTGAAATATAACCATCTTTATTTCTATCGAGTTCATGAAACATTTTCAGCAACTCATCAGTTTCTTTTTTGGACGGCATACTTTTTGTAATGTAATGTGAAAGTGTAAAAATATCCCTTTAATAATTTTCCAAGTGTTTCTTTCAAAACGTTTATATTCCAACTGGCAGAATAGATATACTTATTGCGTCCTGCTTAGCTTTAAATATCTTTGTTGTTGAGACTAGATGAAATAATAATAATTTGGATGAAAACGATTGATTATTAGTATGAATTAAAAGTTTCAATTGTGCATTTATATAGTTTTGTATGCGTATTCAATGGATCAATTAAGAATTACTATTAGATAAAACCAAATGGATCATGTGTGATTTTGTTTAGTACGTTTATTATGATTCTTAGAATGTAACAAAATGCATTTTTGTTTTTTCTAGGTCGTAGAACGTGGGTGTTTAGTGTTGTAATTAGTTCTGTTTTACAGCTCATTATGTAGCTAAAGGTAAAATAAACAGAATAATTATCTAGAACCATTGACATATTCGCACTTATAGTCGATAATATTTTAAAAAGCTGATAGATTATTTTATACAATTAAACTAATTAGAACACTAACATTAGGTTGACTACAATTGCTCCAAATTGACTAAGCCATCAAAGACTCCATGTTAGAAGTGTTCATTAAAAGTCACCAAAACTATATCAATAAGCATTTAAAACATAAATAAGAAGTGCTGAAAATTAATAGACATCTATGAGTGTCGTTTTCTAAGACATAAAATATTTCATGTCAGTAACCTGAAATAAAAAACAAAGTCTTTTCAAAAAGATGAGGTGTTCAAAAAGCAAACGACATAGCAATATACCACTAGACGATCATCCAGTTTTTAAGTTTACATTAATTTGTTATTCAGCTTTACTTCAGCGGTAATCCATGGTAGATTAGTTCACTACTCCGATTTTTATCAATTATAACTTTCACCTAGCGCGCATACTGATGCAGATATAACGAAAGGTCGTGGGCATGTATGTGTACTAGGTTGTATATTAAAATATAACCCTAATAGTGAGTATGATTTACTAGCGAAACAATGCACTGCATGATACATCACAATAAATCAGTATACGTTTCTCAAGGTATTGTTTGTTTTAGCGATTTACTGTAAACGCATCAATTCTAAAATGTCATTCCGACTTTAACATTCTATAATATACAATTGATGATTTCTTAAAAGAATGATAATCTTACCTTACATTGTTTAGTATACTTCTTTACAATCTCAAGCTTCAAATAAAACATCTCAGTGATTGAGAGAAAAATTTAAAACATTCTAAGCTTATTTCTTTAATCACTTATTCAAAATTTGTAATCTTCTGTAGCACTTTAAATTCATATCGACATATCAAATCATGTATAACCATTGAAGTAGTAAATTTAATATTATTCATAGTATACGGAATAATTTTAAATGCTAATAAATTAGTTGTAAGCATAAGTAATATAAAAGAGATAAATAAGATATCTGAATGAATTGTGAGTTTACAATAATAAATATAAATCAACTTCAGATGGAGTTCTATTTACCTGATGCATTTTCTTTAGTATTTAGAACTAAACAATCTTGACTATGCTGAATACATGATTCAGTGTGGCGAAAATCTTCATGTTGCTGAACAGAGAGAAAAAAACTTTCTTTTCAATTAGTTTTTCTTTTATCCCAGTAAATATCCAAAACATCAGTGTACATTATATTAAGTAAGATTTTCAAGGATGACTGAATCACGTCAAGCAATTTGTAATGTGATTAACGGCCTAAATGTTTAAAGATTGCAATACTCTTTGTTGGATGTCAGTTTTTTCAAGTAAACAGCAGGTAGCTGTAGACGTATATTTTAAGATTGTGAATAATTATCGGTGATGCTAATGACCACACTGCTAAGTGTTTGTCAGATTTTAATTATCTCTAAGGGTTAGATACCAAAAAGCCTATTAACACTACCTGATCAAGCAGTTAAAACATCTGAGTTCAACAATGAATCAGTTGTTTCTTGAGTAGTTCAGTGCCAGTGTCTGAGAAAGTACCACGAGGTAGAGAGAGTCTGAACTCTTCGGGAACAATTAGTTCTCTAAACACTCTGACAGATAGCATATTGTATAAAAGTTAAGTCTATTATTCCGAAGTCTTTTTCAAACCAACTAACAAATAAACAATACCTATCGTTTGTTCTTTAATATGAATTGCAAAATATACCTACTCGGATGCTGGCCCAATGGTCCGATGGTTAGACGTTCGCGCACAATACAGAAGGTCCCCTGCTCGAATCCTGCGAGGTGCAGGAGTCGTGGATGGGCACTGCTGATGAGTCCCATACCAGGACGAAATGGCCGTCCAGTGCTCCCAGGTTTCTAATGGTGGTCTAACAATGACTGATTGATGATTTCAAAGGTGTAAAAACACAAACCTCCAAAGCTCTAACTGAAAAAAATGATGTTTTTATTTATTTCTATTACTAATAATACATTATCCAATAGTATCACTTGGAACAATCAGATCTTCACACTGCCAAATAAGTAGTCGCCGTACCTTCATTAGTATGCATTGAAAATGAATTCTTTCTCTAAAGAATCAACTTTACACTCGAGTGATAATTTGAAAATGATAATTAATAGTTTACTCTAATTCACATGGTGAAATATACTATGCAAAAGTAAAACCGGATCTCGAGTTGTTTTTGCCAGATTTTTAGCATAATGTTTATATCAGATGATGAACATCACGCATGACATCTGAACTACTAATCCACCATGATTGGTCTTTATGTCAGTTTCATACTATTATTATCTTAGGTCACTGCTTCAAAGAGACTCATAAGTTGGTAAATATTTAAAATGAAGTATGGATTGTGTTAAGTTTTCAGTTACTGTTCAGTTATTCCATTTTTTTTTTTGAGTGCTTACAAAATAAGTATCTGCTCAAATATTCAGCATTAGACAAAATGGTTGACTAGACGTAATTGTACTATTCTTAAATAAATTTTTTTCCAATGTTTTGAGCTATTTTCGAAATTTCATTGTTTTCATTCATTTTTGACAGACACAGTCTAATTATGTTTATGAATCTGATCGCAGCGAAACCAGCTCTGCGAGAATATGTTCTTATCCATGCAGCTGAGGTTATTTCGCGTTATTTTATAATACACCTATTTTTCTTGTCGATATCCTCTTTACGTCTGTGGATAGTCTTAATTTTAAAAAGCATTTTTTTAAAGACTCATCATCATTATTATATTCTAAAATCCCTTATCACAGCAATGGCTGTATGGGACTAACCATTCAGTATCGTTCATAAACGCGACTACAGGATTATGGCAGATATTTCCAACGTACTGATCAGCTGCTCATACACTGAACATCTCCAAACCTGCAAAGTAAATTGGCGTTAAGGCAACAGGCACAGACCCATGAACCATCAGTCCAAGCAGTTCAATGAGCTTCCTACACTCTGATAATAGAATGTTTCCAACTACCGCAACGCTGGCAACGGTTGGCAATGCTATCATAATCATAAGTTAGGAGTTAAACATACATTACTTACTTACTTACTTTCGCCTGTTACCCCCAATCTAGCATAGGCCGCCCACCAGTTTTCTCCAACCAACTCTGTCCAATGTTTGTTCATTCCTCTCATATCTTTCTCTATTTCTTGGAGTAATGTGTTCCTCTGCCTTCCTCTTTTCCTTTCGCCTTGAGGGTTCCATATGAGGGCTTGTCTTGTGATGCAGTTCGGTGCTTTTCGTAGTGTGTGTCCTATCCACTTCCACCGCTTCTTCCTGATTTCCTCCTCCACTGGAAAAATGGTTTGTTCTAAACATACATTGGTAGCAACATATGTACTCGATAAGCAACTAAAGTCCATTCATCGCATATGTACTCAGCGTTCATTGTTCTTGTAGTGAGTGCTATTATATATATGTAGCTCGCAGGACTTGTCCCACTTGCTTTTTGACCTTGTCAGTCATTCGCTCATATCTGCGTTGCTTTTATTCGTGTGTGTGCTCGCCTTCTCGCTTATTACATGTTTGGCTTATATTCGTCTGACTATAACTTCCTAGTCATGCTTCATAGAACGGAGTTGGTTCTTCCTCCTTCTCCACTCGGCTTCGCTTCGCTTTGTTTGTATGCTTTTCGTTATCATGTCTACTTCAACAATTGCCTGAAATAAACGCATCCAACCAAATCCATATTTGGTTTCTCATTACCACCGCCGCAAAAACGGGGTTCGCTTAAGTAAACTGATGGGGAGATTCATTTCATAGTATAGTTAAATGTTGATAAATATTGGGTCGCGGCCCAATAAAAGAATGAGCCCTACATTGAACCTAAAACCTCAACATTCTCAATGTTTTCTGCTGATAATCTCGACCCAACTGTCTTAGCATATCTGAAGCCACTTGTTTAATGGATGATTCTTTGTATATTCATCAAATTTAATCAAATATAACTTCACGCTACATTCATAACTCTAAAACGTCAGGCGATTAATGCAATAACTATCCGTCCCCGTCAAACTGTTAATCGGAACACTGAGTTTAGTGATAGTCCTTCAAAGAAGTACTCGCAAGCGTCATATTCGTGTCAGTTTTTTCTGTTCAGCCGTTAGGACAGTTTCTCAGCTAACAAGGTCGAGCGCATCTCTTTCCAACGACTTAAACTACTCTAGGCTTCACGACCAAAAAAGGGAATGACTCAATGTATCTCGTCTCTACTATCACTACTATGTTCTTCTAATCACTCTATTAATACCGTTTCAACAAATCGTTATTTTCAACGTTATTTTCACGCTATTCCAAAACACGTAAACGTTTCATTTTAGCCTCCTAGTCACACCATTAATTGATGTTAATTTTTCTCAATACCGTTATTAATTTGTTCATAACCTCAAGCTGTCATTTTCATTTGCGTTCACACCTGTACGACACTCATATTCTGTTGTATAACTATGACACTTTCCTATTATATACACTCAACCCTTGTTTATCACTGTACTTGATACAAAATTGTATATTTTTTTCTCTACATAAC